TGTCCCTCCATCCCTTTTCCAAAATCCCTTTCCAGCTCTCCTGGAACCCCTTGAGGGGGATCCCCTCTCCCAGGGAACAATTCCTGAAACCTTTGGATCATGGGAACTCTCATCCCTGGTAAACTTCCAGCTTTCCCAGTGCTGTTTAATCCCTAATTTTCCACAGCTTCATTAGGCAGCCACATGCAAATCACTTCCCTTTTCGCTCCGCTTTCCGTGGCTCAGCATTCCAGGAAAAGCCCGGGAATGTGCCGAAGAGCGGAGTGCTTCCGTGTCAAGCCCAGGCATGGAATAAATCCTCCCAAATTAATTCCCAGTGCCCAGGGAACGACGCTCCGGGCACCTGCGCAACTCCAGGGCGTGTTGGGAATTAATTATCATAAATCCTGGATGTTTATTAGTTGAGTCAGGCAGGGAAATACTTGGAAAGCAGAGAGGGGGTGGGGTGGGGTGATCCCGATCCCATTTTATCCCATCCCGTTTCTCCTGTGGCTGAAATGGGGATGGAAAAGCGGGGAAAAGGGGGGAATTCTGCCTCTCTGCTGGAATTCCCACCTGGAATTCTGCATCCAGCTCTGGGGTGTGAAAGCAGAAGGATGTGGAGATGTTGGAGAAGGTCCAGAGGAGGCCATGGAGATGCTCCAAGGCTTGGAGCCCGGCTGGGAGAGCTGGGAATGTCCAGCCTGGAGAAGAGAAGGATCCAGGGAAACCTCAGAGCCCCTTCCAGTGCCTGAAGGGGCTCCAGGAGAGCTGGAGAGGGACTTGGGACAAGGGATGGAGGGACAGGGATACAGGGAATGGCTTCCCACTGCCAGAGGGCAGGGATAGATGGGATATTGGGAAGGATTTCCTGGCTGTGAGAGTGGTGAGGGGCTGGGATGGAATTCCCAGAGAATTTGTGGCTGCCCCACCCCTGTCCAAGGCCAGGTTGGAGCAACCTGGGATAGGAATTTTCCCTGACAACCCAAATCTCAGGTCTGAGCATTTGATGAAGTTTTTCCATGAAATTTCCAGGAAATTTCATGATTTGATGAAGTTTTTGCTACACTACTGGAGGAAAAAAAAAAAAAAAATCGAGCCCCTTCCAAAGCCTAAAGCGGCTCCAGGAGAGCTGGAGAGGGATTTGGGACAAGGGATGGAATGAGAGGCCACAGGGAATGGATTCCCAGTGGAAAAGTGGAAATTTGGGTGGGATATTGGGAAGAAATTCTTGGCTGTGAGAGTGGTGAGGGGCTGGGATGGAATTCCCAGAGAAGTCGTGGCTGTCCCTGGATCCCTGGAAGTGCCCAAGGTGTTGCACAGGACTTGGAGCCCAGATGGGATCAGTGGGATCGTTTATTCCCGTGATCCCAAGGCTGATCCCATGATCTTTCCCCAAAGGGAGAACACGCGGAATCCTCAGTGCCGCTTCCAGGAACCAATTCCTGGGGTTTTTTTCCCTCCTCGTTGTGATCCCAAGGCTGATCCCTTGGAGAACACGTGGAATCCTCAGTGCCAGTTCCAGGAACCAATTCCTGGGGTTTTTTTCCTCGTCATTAATGGGATTAGGCTCGTTAATGCCACCCTTGATTCCATGGGATTCCATGTTTTCCACCAATTCCTACAGCCCTGGAGGCTCCCAGGGAAATTTTCCCCATTGGAATGCGAAGCCAAGTGATTCCCAAACACTTCCAATAATCACCGACCACCCCATCACCGGGGTTTCCCCATTTTTGCCACATCCCTTAGGGACACATCCAACCTCTGCCCTAAACCTGGATAAGGCTGGAGATTGTCTGGAATTTCCTCACAGAAAGCGGGATTAGACCTTGGAATGGAAATCACCATCCCTGGAGGTGTTTGTGGAAAAACCTTGGAATGGGAATGACCATCCCTGGAAGTATTTATGGAAAGACCTTGGAATGGGAATCACCATTCCTAGAGGTGTTTATGGAAAGACCTTGGAATGGGAATCACCATCCCTGGAGGTGGAAATTCCATAAATAAACTCGAGTCCAAGTGGTACAGGCTCTGAACCTGAACCCTGAGGTTTTGATCCCAAACCCGAAGTTTTGACCCCAAACCGGAGGTTTCAATCCCAAACCTGAGGTTTCAATCCCAAACCTGAGGTTTTCCTCCTGAAATCTTAGGAGATCAAGGAGATGTCGGAGCCAAATTTGGATCCGGGCCGGGAAGCAGAGGGAGGACACGGTGGTGACATCAGGGACATCTCCTGTGCCCTGTCCCCTTCCATGGCTCCCCACTGGCTCCAGAGACGGTGCAGGAGGAAAAACTGGGATAATCAGATCCCTGAGGAAAACAGGGAGCAGCTGCCAATGAAATGAGTATTTCCTTAAAAAAAAACCCCAAAACCAGGATCTGTGTGCCACGATCAACAAACTCATCTCTTATTCCGACCTTTCGGAGAGTGTAGGATTTGGGAATTCCCTGGACTAGCTTTAAGGTAAAAAGAGAAATATCCACAGCTTTTCCGAGGAAAGGGTTTATTCCCTTTTAGAAGTTGCTAATGGAAAGCTTGGGAAAAAAAGGGAATTTTATTCCCAGCCCCGCTGCACAGAGAATTCCTTCCAAATATTCTAAATATCCCTCTTTTCTGGCAGTGAGAAATAATTCCCTGTGTCCTGTCCCTCCATCCCTTATCCAAAATCCCTCTCCAGCTCTCCTGGAGCTCCTTTAGGCACTGGAAGAGGCTCCAAGGCCTCCCTGGATCCTTCCCTTCTCCAGCCTGGGCATTCCCAGCTCTCCCAGCCTGTTTTCCTCTCCTTATGAATATTTTCCAACCATCCAACACATTTTTTCCTCCCAGAAAAATCCCCCAGTTTGCCAGGACAATCACCTGGATCTTTCTTCTTGCCCTTTTTATTGGTGTAAAAATCAGCTTTTATTCAGATTTTCTGGTTTCTTTAATTTCCAAGACTCTGGTCTGAAGAGCTTTTCCTACAGTTGCTCCATTCCCATAAAACCTTGGATCTTTTGAGGTCCCAACCTGGCCCAATCTATGATTTATTTGCTGCAAATTATCCGACTTTTTAAAAAATTCACCTAAACTTGACCGTTTTCCAACATCCCACCCAAATCTCCCCTTTCCCAGTGGGAAGCCATTCCCCGTGTCCTGTCCCTCCATCCTTTGTCCCAAGTCCCTCTCCAGCTCTCCCAAAAAAAATTCACCTAAACTTGACCGTCTGCCGCCATTTTCCAACATCCCATCCAAATCTCCCCTTTCCCAGTGGGAAGCCATTCCCCGTGTCCTGTCCCTCCATCCTTTGTCCCAAGTCCCTCTCCAGCTCTCCCAGCTACAAATCATCCCAAATTTGCCATTCCAATGAAACCGACGACCGCAATTCCCGGGGGAACCGCGGATTTAAATTCCTTCGGCAAACTCAGCTCCCACAGAAAGTCGCACCCAGCTCCCGAAATTGGATTTGTTTGGGTTTTATCCCCTTTGTTTGTTTGTTTTTAAGGGGGAGGAGGATGGGGATACCCTTTCCTTCCCTTCCCAAGTCTCCCTGCTCCTCGCCATCTCCCAGGCTTGGCTCATCCGGCAGCTCCTGAACTCCCACCGGGAATTAGGGGCGGAGGCAGCATTTTTCTGGCTCCTCAACCTCCCCCGTGGGGCTAATTAATATTCCTTAAGCACCACACCCCTAATTACAATAGACAAAAAGCGCTTTGGTCTCCGAAGTTCTCTCGACTCCGGATTTTCCCGGCGAATTTACATCCCGCGGAACACCCATTAACTCCGCGTTTTTAATTACGGCATCAAAACCCTCTTGATTAGAGCACAAAAAAAGCCGTCGACTCTCAAATTAACAGCACAAAAAAAATCCCCCCCAGCTCATTCCCCTGGTCCCAGCTCACCAGGAAAACATTCCCAATCCCGAGCAGAGCATTCCAGATGGTGACACACGCCATGGAAGAGCTCGGAGACGGGATGAGAGCTCCCCTCATTAGCATAAATTAGGGTAGAGCAGATTTAGCAATGAAAGGACTTGGGGCAGCTCTGGGCTGTTGGAGTTTTGTATCCTTTTCCAGAGGACCCCGTTGCCTCCAGGATAATTCCGTACGGATCGCGGCCCTTGACCGCATCCGCCGGGATGGGAACAGAGCCTTCAGTGTTTCTCCAAGCCCTTTTCCATCATCAATCTGCATGGAAATGGGCTTGGATAAAGCTGTCCCTTTTCCAGGGAGTGTTTTGCTCACAGTAATCCTTAACCATTCCCAAAATCCGTCGGTCCTGGGTGTATTCGGGAGCTAACCAGGCGAGCGCGAGGGTTTAATGGGAAGCATTAAATACGAGGGAATATTTGACATTCTCCTGCCTGGCTTTAAGCACCAATTCCCTTGAACCGTGATCCTAATCAAAACACCAAGGGAAAAAATCATGGAAAATGGACAACCAGCACCAAAAACAGCAGGAAAATTGTGCTCTGAAGGAATTTCAGGATGGAGGCGAAGCTCGGCCCAGGAGCCCCTGCTGTCAAAACTGTTCCACCTGCCCAGGAAAAGAGACTCTGGATGTCCCCTCCTTCCGTCATTCCCGCTCTCCCTGAGGCTGATCCCAGCTTCAAAGAGGGAAGTTTGGGAATTACAGCCCCACACACCTGCAGGGTGGCACCGAGGAGCTTTTGGGACAGCGTGAAGCCCGGGAAGACGGGTTTGAGTGGGAAATTAGGGAGGAAATTCTTCCCTGGGAGAGTGGGAAAGCCCTGGAATGTGATTCCCAGGGAATTCATCCCTGGAAGTGTTCAAGGCCAGTTTGGATGAGGCTTGGAGCAACGTGGGATTTTGGAAGGTTGGAAGTGGCAGGGGGATGGAATTTAATGAGTTTTTAACTCCCTTCCAACCCAAACCACTCAACAATTCCACCCTTCCTCCTTTTAGTACCCGAGTTTTCTCCTTCCGAAGCGTAACCCAGCTGAGGGAAGCGGGAGAAAATCCCAAAATCCGCCAAAAACAACCGCGCCAAACCCGCTCCCGGTGCCGCCGAGCCCGACGCCCACCTCCTTCCACGGAGCGATCCCATCATTCCTTCATCTGCCATCTCCCACCATCCCTCCGGGGCTCCTCAGGACACTCCGGGGCCTCCTTCTCCCTCCTCTCTCCGCGGACGCCGCATCCACCCCGAAGGGTCTAATTTGGGGGGCGATTCCCAAATCCGCGAGCGAGCCTCCGCACGCCTTTCCCGAGGAGATGGAGTCTCCAGAGGGCCTGGCAGAGAGCCCTCCCCTCCGGAGCCGTGTGGGTGACGGCGCTGCCCTCCCCGATCCGGCCTCCCCCGGGATTTTGCAACAGAAAGGAACCACAGAGAAGATTTTTTTCCGGCTTTTTTTTTTTTTTTTCAGAAGAGTTTAATTAGTTGGGAGATGGGAAACAGGGCATTGATTTTTTTTTTTTTTTGTGGTGTTATTTGGGGTTTTCTGGTTTTGTTCCCTTTTTTTTCCCCCCCCTCAGAAAGTTTCCAATCTTCCCACACCAGGAGTTATTCCCTAATCCTGATGTTTAAGACCAGACCAGCATCAGATCTGCCTTTTTTCAGGAAAAAAAAAAAAATAAAAGGGGAAAAAAAAAAAGGGAAATTTGACCTTGATGCACTTCGGTTCTGAACTCGCAGCTGCAGCAGATGGCTGGGGAAAGCAACGGAGAAAAGGCTCAAAAATTTAAAAAAATTGGGAAAAAAAGATTTTACACAAGCAGAAATTCCCCTGCCAAGCCACAAGGTGAACTCCACACAAGGTAAAATCCCGTTTTCCCCAGGAAAAAGCAGTTTGGAAAAGACCTGGAAAGCCTCAGAGCCGTGGAGAAATCAAGGTGAAATCTGGGATTCAAATCCTAAATATTTAATAGCTCAGGCAAGGAGTCCAGAAGTGACACCATGTAATCCATTTTTAATGCTCCGTATTCTTCTTCCCGATGTGTCTTTCTGCCTAAAAAATTTTCGGAGCGACAATTTATCCAGAGTGGTTTAATACGAAATTAAAATTACGGCAGGGGAGGGATTGGGAGTTTAAGGATTCTCTCGGCTGGAAGGAGCCGTGGCATAAATGAATTATTTCCTGAAAGAGGCTTTTTTTTTTATTCCTTCCAGGCAGAGAAATTCCAGGGAGTCGATACGGGCCTGGATTAGACACAAGACTTATGGATTTCTGCTAAAAAAAGGGAAGATTCTGAGGAGATAGAAGGAAAATGTGTTTGGTGAGGGTGGGGAAGTGCTGGAATGGAATTCCCAGAGAAGCTGTGGCTGCCCCGGGATCCCTGGAAGTGTCCAAGGCCAGGCTGGACAGGGCTTGGAGTGATCAGGGACAGTGGAAGGTGTCCCTGCCCATGGAAAAGGGTGGAATTGGATGGGATTTAAGGTCCATTCCCACCCAAACCATTCCATGATTACCCATGCACAATTCCAGAAGAATTGCTCTGGAAAGCAGAGCAATTAAGAAATTAATAAATCAGTTTATTAATCCGGACTCCTGGATTAAATTTGGTCACAGAACCATGGAATGGTTTGGGTGGGAAGGGACCTTCAAGATCCGCTTGTTCTCCAGGGCAGGGACATCTTCCAAGATCCCAGGTTGCTCTGAGCCCCGTCCAACCTCGCCTTGGACACTTCCAGGGATGGAGCAGCCACAGATTCTCTGGGAATTCCATTCCAGGGCCGCACCACCCTCACGGAGAAGAATTCCTCCCCAATATCCCTTATCCCAAATCTCCCCTTTCCCAGTGGGAAGCCATTCCCTGTGCCCTGTCCCTCCATCCCAAATCCCTCTCCAGCTCTCCTGGAGGCCCTTCAGGCACCGGAAGGAGCTCCAAGGTCTCTTCCCTTCTCCAGGTTGGATGTTCCCAACCTCATCTGATGGAGGTGGTGACACCGCACTGATATTCCATATCCTGGAGATTCCATGTCCAGACATTCCTTCCTTGCTGTATTTCTAGGCATAAAAAACCCCCAATCCAACAGCGGCAGCTCAACCATTCCAGCTTTTCCTCCGGGAAAAGCTTGTGGTGGCATTTTCCACAGCTTAAAATGCCCGGAGGGATCTCTGTCCCATTTTTCTCTTCCTTTCTTTCAGGCTGTGTTGTCTCAATACTGCAGCTTTTCCCCCCACGGAAAAACCCAGGAATGCATCACTTGTTTTCCTGGATTTCACCAATATTTATTTTAATCTGGCCCCTGTTTAATTGGGATGGTTTTACTATTCCCTGAAATTCCAGTCTTGGAGCAACACTTGCAAGCGCTTTTGTGGTTCCAGTTGTCTTCAACTCATCAAAAAAAAACCTTGGAAAAAGTCACTCCGAATAATGTCTCCGCTTCCCCAACCATCCAACTGGGAAAAGCCTGACCTACTTGGCAGGAATGTGGAGAGCTTGTGCTCTTCTCTTTATTTTATTTTAATTTTTTTTTACTTTTTATTTCTTTTAAATGATTTAAGAGAATCCAAACGGGAGGAGCTGGAGAGGCGGGAATTCCGCAAGATCATTAAGAGACCACCAGAGGGTTTGGAAGGCCCTGATCCACATTTTTCCCTGGAATTTGTAATCCAAATTCCCTCCATCAATTTGCCAAAATAGGGAATTTTACACTGGGTTTTGACAGCTCCCAAACTGAGGTGTGGGGATGAGGAGAGGAATCCTGAGGAAAGGGCAACCAGCAGGAAAATCAGGATGGAAATTTATCAGGAGACACAAAAAATAGATGGAAAAAAAGAAATAAAAGGAGAGGCCTAAAAGGAATGGGGATGGAAAATACCTGGAATTTGCTCCTTTTTGGTCATTCCTAAAACACTTAGAGGAAGCAAGAGGAAAAAAAGACTGGGATAGGATGGGGTGGAATGGAATGGGATTCTTTCTCATCCTGGAGAAGAGAAGGATCCAAGGAAACTTCAGAGCGCCTTCCAGTGCCTGAAGGGGCTCCAGGAGAGCTGGAGAGGGACTTAGGATGAGGAATGGAGGGACAGGACACAGGGAATGGCTTCTCACTGCCAGAAGGCAGGGATAGGTGGGATATTGGGATGGAATTCTTCCCTTTAAGGGGCTGGGATGGAATTCCCAGAGAATCTGTGGCTGCCCCATCTTTGGAAGTGTCCAAGGCGAGTTTGGAGCAACCTGGGATAGTGGAAGATTGGGGGTTGGAATTCCATGATCCTTTACATCCCTTCCAACCCAAATTCCACAATTCCACGATCCTACCACATCCCCCTCTTCATCCATACGGAAAGGGGGGGTGGTAATGACATAACCTCATCCCAGTTATCCGTAAAAATGAGATGAAGGACAATCACTAATCCCATAAAATCTAATACCGAGCCACAGCTTTGGGCATGCAAATAGATCGTGGAAACGATGCAGCACCTCCAGTAATTCCCAGTGGGAACAGGGGGGCTGGGATAAACAGGAATCTGCTCTTTTCCCAGGAGAATTTGGCCCCTTGCACTCAAATCCCTCCTGAGAAGCCAAATTCCTCCAGGAAATTCATCCCGCAGCACCCAGGAGCAACAAACAGGGAGAGATTTGGATCCCGTGGATGGAGAGCCGGGATAAAAAGCCAGGAAATTGCCGAGTGCTGATCCTGCTTCTCCAGGAGTGTGGAATCTTTTCTGGCGCCTTGAGCTTCCGGGGTGAAGGACGGTCCTTCGAGATGAATAACTCGAAATAACGGCACAGAACGCGGCAAATTTAGCAGGTTTTTGTCCGGCTCCAAGTCAGCTGTTTGCAGCTAATTACAGGGATGTCAGGGAATTCGGGATTTGTCAGCTGGATTGAAGATGGGAGAATGTTGCTTGGGAAAATGTCCCGATTAAAACTCCACAAAAATCCTGCAGAAATCCCGCAAAAAGAACTGGATTTTTGCAGGGTTTTGGTGGGGGTCTGGCCCAGGGTTTTTGTTCTGGCCTTGGACACTTCCAGGGACACTTCCCAGCTTCTCTGGGAATTCTATTCCAGTGGTATTCCCACTCTCACAGAGAAGAATTCCTTCCCAATATCCCATCTATCCCTCTGGCAGTGGGAAGCCATTCCTTGTGTTCTCCCCATTCCCTCTATCCCTTGTCCCCAGTCCCTCTCCAGCTCTCCTGGTGCCCCTTTAGGCACTGGAAGGGGCTCTGAGACTTCCTTGGATCCTTCCCTTCTCCAGGCTGGACATTCCCAGCTCTCCCAGCCTGGGTCCAGCCTTTGGAGTGACTCCTTGACCTCTGGATCTGCTCCAGCAGCTCCACATCCTCCTGATATCGGACCCCAGAGCTGGATGCAGAATTCCAGGCGGGAATTCCAGCAGAGGGGCGGAATGCTAAAAATTCTGCTCCAAATTGTAAAGAATTGCCCAAAATTCCGCTCTCAATCTCAAAGATTGGAATTCCAGAAGGAAATGCGAGAGCGGCGACGGCGACAAATCAAAGCCTGGAGTTGAATTTCCACCATCACCCAACGCCTCAAAGCGCAGGGTCACGGTGTCAACCCACTTAAGCGTGGCCTAAAATACTTAAGCAAGAGCTGAGTCTGCACCTGAATCCTCCTGACCTTCATCCCATCCCATTAATTTCATCCCATCCCATCCATTAATTTCGATCGCTCCGAGCGTTTCATACTTGATCGCCAGGAAAGATAATTTGCTGTTAGCGAGCCCTGCTATCAAATCCCAGGCACCGAGCATGGATTTGGGGCAGGGAGATCCAAAAAACTCCCCAGGGACAGCCATTCCCAGTGAGAAATGTGCAATTTCTCCCCAGAGAAGCCCACCAGAAATCATGGATTAATAGGAAAACCCACAAAAGCGGGAAAAACAGGCAAATTTTTTGATGTGAGCGACACAGGGAATGTGGAGATTCCTCCACTTGGCAAATCTCAACTGGTGGAACGAGTTTTCCCAGTCCAGCTCAGGCTTGGTGGATCAAGGGAAGGATTGGAATTGCTTCCAAAACATTCCTGCAATGGTTTTAATGAAGGCAATAAAAATTCTTCTCACAGATCTGATATACTTTTTGGAGATGAGGATTTTTCCTCAAAAGCCTGGAAATATTTTCTGGAAACCAAGCCTGTGAGTTTTTCCCTGATAACTCCTGATAAATAAATTTCCTAATAAATCTTTCTGG